GTCTTCTGTCTTCTGTCTCTCTGTCTCTGTCTCTGCTCTCTGCTCTTCTGCTCTCTGTTCTCTGTCTCTCTCTCTGTCTCTGTCTCTCTCTCTCTCTCTCGCACTCTTCTGTCTGTCTCAGGGCTCTGTCTCTCTCTTTGTCTCTCTCTCTCTCGCACTCTTTGTCTCTCTCTCTCTCGCACTCTCTGTCTGTCTCGGTCTCTCTCTCTCTCTCTCTCTCTCTCTCTCTCTTGCAATAAACCCACATCAGAACACGTTACGTTTTATTGCATGACTTTACGATCGCCGACCATGCATTATTTCGTCAAACGCGCACGTGTTTTTCTCGCCCCGTGCACCCTGTCAACAGTCGTGCCATTTTACCGTTTCATTTTCTTCGGCAGACGCCTGAGGAGCATGAGATGGAGACGAACATCAAGTCTAAGGAGGCACGCAAGTACATCTTCAACTGCCTGGATGACATGGCACAGGTGAGGGTACGCATGCAACACTACCCTCCTCTCCCCTGGATCGCACCCGTCTCTTCTAGCCGTGCACAGTGACCCCTGGTGGCAGCCATCTATACTAATTGTGCACAGCGCCCCCTGTGATGGACTCTCGGTGTGCACGATTTTACACGTTTGCGTCGATCGTTCCGTATATATATCGGCAAGATTTGAAATGTTCGAAATAGAACCTGCATTTTGCGACTCCCGCCTCCGGGGGAGGGATGCCGGGGGCGTCGCCATGGCAACGGCTGGCCAGCATCGCAGCCTGATCTTACAGTTACGATTCGCACGGCGGAATAAACGGCCAATAAAATCTGCTAGCCAGGTTGAACGAGTCGACGCCATATTCCCGGCAAACGCCGCCATGACGGCACCTGCGCTGCGCCGTTGGCACGCACTCGCCCCGCTTCGATACGAGAACTTTATAAACAGGCGGCGGCAGCAGCAGCAGCAGTACTGTTGGCTTATTTATTAGCACTGCTTCTATGTGTACACCAACCTGTGTGTATACACACACACCAGCAGCAGTAGGACTGCGTGGCTGTGTACAGAAATCGGCTCTAGGCGAGGCTGCACTTGCCGTTTGAGTTTATCGCTCCCAGCCAGGTGCGTATGCGTGCGTGTGTATGTGAATATGCGTGTACGTGTGTACGGGCGTATGTACAGTAATGCACTCGTTTAGGTTATTGAGATTCGTCTATACAGATTTTGTAAGCCATGACCACTAAACTCGAGATGCGAAATGTAAACTCACACTTACATGGTTTTTTAAAGGAATGCAGGTTGTCTAACCAAAAGCCGTGCAGCATGGTTATAACTGTAATAGCCTTACGTTAAAAACATTTAAAATGCCTCGTTCTAACTCGTTTTCCCCCACAAACAATCACAATCCAAAGAGATAGACACAAGTGAACACAAAGTTTCGGGAAAAATCCAGAAAACTATTGGCCCGCAAAATAATCTGTGGCAGTGACACGTTCTGGCAGCGAATAATGTAGACAGAGTTTCTTTTTATCAGATTCTGGGTGTTTTTATGATATTTTCGTGTTACTAGACGTGATATACTGTTGTTCTCGGGCACGAGTTGAAAGCTTCTTTTGTCATCAAGCGCCGCGGTCATCATTACTGTGTTGTGTTGTGTTGTTAGTGGTGAGATTGAGAACCAGCAGTGGCTGGCTGCTTGTGCAGGCCGTTACTATGCCACCTCCCGTATATTATTCCCTACTCTTCTCCTTCCGTCCTGCCCCCCCCCCTCTTTTCCTTCTTTTGCAACCGATTCATCTCGTTGCCAATTGTTATATATATTAATTGATTGATCGATTTATTTATTAATGTATGTAATAAGTATAGTACGTTGCTGTTTAATGTGTCATGTGGGCTGATCTGATTCCCCCCACTTATTTTATTCCTCCTCTTTTCCTACCTCCTCTTCCCACCGGCTCCTCCTTCCACCTGTTCCTCGCGCGCCGCCTGGTGTAATATAGAGGAGGTGTAAATAGCACGGCTGCTGGCGCGTAGCAGGCAGGTGCATGTGCAGCCGGCTGTTTGGGGTGGTAGGATATGTTTACTAGGCACTTCTAATTTTAACATATATTTTAAATTTAATTAGGGTTAGGGTTAGGGTTAGCGTTAGGGCACTTTTTAGGGTTTTTGCATCATTCTTTAATATATCGTAAAATATATGTTAAAATTAGAAGTGCCTAGTAAACATATCCTACCACCCCAAACAGCCGGCTGCGGTGTGTGTATCAGTACCCTATACGTATGTGCGTAGCTGTAACGTGACGTGTCACGCGTTAATTCTCGCTCGCTTGCGCTTTACTCCAGGAGCTGGAGAATCGACTGGAGCGCACCTACCTGCCAACGATGCCCGCCAATGGCATGCAGCCGTGGGGCCTCGGTGCTAACGTGCTGCCATCTGCCGCGCTCGCGAGGCCGCCCATAACCATGGCGATGGCATCGTCAAACCTCACCTCGAAGCGTCAGACCAGTAAACAGAAGTGAGTGGCCGCTACAAAAAAAAACTTGTGGTATTCCCGCGCGATCGCACGCCGTGTTGTCGCTTCGATCTTGCCGAGGTCGGCGGCTCAGCTGCGTTGGCGCCACCTACGTGCCAACGCCGTCGTTTCTCTCTCTCGCGCATGCGCTCGTGTAGGGAAGGTTTTGGGTTTCACGTTACGCGTCGGTCAATGATCGTAGACAGTGATGGTCAAAGAAGTGTATAATATAGACGGCTTTATTCTAATATATATGTTACAACATATATAAGCACGTCAGTGCGTATGTGCCCCCTCTCTGCTTGTCTATCTCTCCCCCCTTTTCCACATCTCTGCTGTTTATATAGGTCGGGCGCGGCATCTCAATGTTCGTTGACGTAGCACTGGACACTGTCCAATCAGTAGGCGAGCTGGCCGTATTGATTGGTCAGTTATGATGATGGTGGAAACGTGTTTAAATCTGTTATGACCGCTTTGTATTTATGAGCAACATGACTCATGCCCTGTGGCGCAATCGTGTCGCAACATCCACTGTGTTGCATCCAGGGCTCGAATTTCCCTATTGCTAACTCGCACAATGCGTGTTTATATAGAGAAATTGCGAGTAGAAAATATAAGCACTTGCTATTTTCTGCGGGTGGTCATTAACTTTCTCTTCTTCTCTGCATAGATCAACGTGCCGTCAGACCTGGATGGCAGTGAGTTGCTCGCGGAGAAGGCTGACCGTCCCTCTCTCCCCCTCTCCCCCTCTCCCCCTCTCTCGCTCTCTCTCGCCTCTCTCCCTCTCCTCTAGCGTGCGACATTAACTCTCTCTTCCTCTCTGCGTAGATCAACGTGCCGTCGGACCTGGATGGCAGTGAGTTACTCGCGGAGAAGGCTGACCGTCCCCCTCTCCCCCTCTCCCCCTCTCTCCCCCTCTCTCCCTCTCCTCTAGCGTGCGACATTAACCCTCTCTTCCTCTCTGCGTAGATCAACGTGCCGTCGGACCTGGATGGCAGTGAGTTACTCGCGGAGAAGGCTGACCGTCCCTCTCTCCCCCTCTCCCCCTCTCTCCCCCTCTCTCGCTCTCTCTCGCCTCTCTCCCTCTCCTCTAGCGTGCGACATTAACTCTCTCTTCCTCTGCGTAGATCAACGTGCCGTCGGACCTGGATGGCAGTGAGTTGCTCGCGGAGAAGGCTGATCGTCGGGAGTTTATCGACCTGCTGAAGCGAATGCTGACGCTCGACCAGGAGCGTCGCATCACGCCCGGCGAAGCCCTCAACCACCCGTTCGTCACGCTCGCGCATCTCGTCGACTACGCGCACTGCAGCAAGTGAGCATTCGAACTACTCTCAGGGCGTCAAGTTCCTATTTTTTCCTATTTTTTCCTATTTTCTGGGCAATTCCTATTTTCTCGTATTTTCTGGACAAATTCTTATTTTTTCCTATTTTTGAGGGCTTTTCATTTTTCTGAATCCAGAATTGTATGTATCCTTCTCAGAATACAGGAATTTACATTTCAGGTGACCCAATTTTCAAAAATGTTGGGGGGGGGAGGACTCCCAGACCCCCACCCCTTACTTTAAATTAACGTAATATACTCTTTACTATCACAGATTTTATTTCAGTAAAGTTGTTTCTTAGTTGGATGTGGTATGTGTATCCTGAGGGGAGGTCCATGGGGTCCGGACCCCCCTTTTTTACCCCAAAAAAGGGAAAACACATAAAAGATAATTTTCTGCTTAAAAATTTGGAATTCCATCTTCCATTCTAGACATCAAAATTACTGCTCAGATGCTCTCAGAATGTACTAATTTTTTTAAAATTTTTCTTGGGGGAGGTTGGCAACGAGCCTTAGACACGTCGCATAAGCTGCTTTCGGCACCTTTTTATAAAAGTGCCTTATATCTCTCTCTTCATCACTCTCTCCATCACTCTCTCCATCTCTCTCTCCATCACTTTCTCCATCTCTCTCCATCTCTCTCTCGATCTCTCTCCATCACTCTCTCCATCACTCTCTCCATCACTCTCTCCATCTCTCTCCCCATCTCTCTCTCCATCACTCTCTCCATCACTCTCTCCATCACTCTCTCCATCACTCTCTCCATCTCTCTCTCCATCTCTCTCTCCATCACTCTCTCCATCTCTCTCTCCATCACTCTCTCCATCTCTCTCTCCATCACTCTCTCCATCTCTCTCCATCTCTCTCCATCTCTCTCCATCTCTCTCCATCTCTCTCTCCATCTCTCTCCATCTCTCTCCATCTCTCTCCATCTCTCTCCATCTCTCTCCATCTCTCTCTAAAGCTGTAATACTTACTCCTAGTATTCGCCACGCGTAACTAGATCTGTGCGGATGCCGTGTTGTGAGCGCCTATAGCTGAGCTGACTTCGAGAAAGATAGAAAGATAGAGAGAAAGATAGAGAGAGAGAGAGAGAGAGAGAGAGAGAGAGAGAGAGAGAGAGAGAAGAAGAGAGAGAGAGAGAGAGAGAGAGAGAGAGAGAGAGAGAGAGAGAGAGAGAGAGAGAGAGAGAGAGAGAGAGAGAGAGAGAGAGAGAGAGAGAGAGAGAGAGAGAGAG